ATCTATTATTTGGAGATTTACTTTATTGTTGCAGAATAAAAAGTGATTCCTTTTACCCAGGTAACTACGGAGTGCCTTATGATTAACTACATTAAAATATATTCTTTGTATATGGACTTTAGACAACTGTTGTACAGTTTTATTTCTGATAACTATTAGAGTGTTAATTTTTATTTGGGGGTACTGGGATAACTTTTTGCATGAAATACGTGATTCCTGAAAAAGAAGACTAATACTAGAAATTTTGTATTAAGCCTTGCAAACTGCTTTATAGCACAGCTTGCACTTCTACTCTGTGCTGTAGCTGTTCCTGTTCAAGCTCTAAGTTTTATGGAATTTTTTGTAAGTTTTCTAGGTAATTCTTTAATGTAAATAACACTACTGCATGAAGGATCAAGTGGCTCTATGGAGTCATTTAGAAAATGGTTGCAAAGAATGTTCTGTTCCTGTATTTATCAAGTAACAATGACGAGATCATGGCAGCCAATCCACCTGGGTGTAATCTCAGATCTGCAAACTATTTAATATACTGAGTGGTAAGACCCCAAATTACCTGTTTTGATAGGAAAACCTGTTTTGATAGGACAACCTGTTGGAAGACGAGAGGATTGGGCTGATATGGGGAGTCTTCTTCTAAGGGCTTTTTTCCCCCTTCTTTGTTTGTAAACCTCCTTGAAAGAAAGTCTGCATGTGCCTCTTGTTTGTATTGATTCAGCACCTTGTCATACAAACATAAAAGAAAGCCGTTCAATAAATGCTGGTTACTGCTGCTGCTACCATGGTATCAGCCCACAAAGTGTGACAGAAACCAACACAGAAGATGGAAATGTAAACTCAACTCTTCCTTTTTTTCTGATGCTAGCAATAAATCCTCAGCAGGTAGCGTAATCATTCATACCAGCCAAAACATTTCAAAGTCTCCTAAAAATTCCCTCATTTCCACCTAAAACCTCTTCCTAATCCTTTATGAATTGCATGGGCAATGCCAAATTGAAAATAATGGTGGCAATTTCAAACTTCAAACAAGACATTAATGAATGTGAAGGCTCTGTGTGTCCAGCTTGTGTCTGTGTGACAAACCAGGTGAGACATAGGGAGGTAGCCAAGATGCTGCCTGTCTTTTTGAACTTAAGTGTTTGTGCTTTTGCTTTGGAGCAAGAACAGCAGCTACAGATTCTAATTTAAGGTGTATGAGTAGTCACAATGAATAAATGAGTCTAAATCCATTCTATTGTTAAATAACATATATTTTCTATTTAATTAAGCCCTGCTGGACTAGGACCCGTATCCTTGGAGATGAAGCAAGTGCTTTCAAGGAGATTTTACTCTACCATTCATGCCATACTTAGCTCTGTAGTGATGTGGCACAGAAAGTTCTTCTTTCATGTTGTTTCTGTAGCTTGGAGGAACAACAATTTACTTGTTATTTTGAAATTTGGTGGCTGGGGAGAGGCAGGTGCTCTTCTCTGCTGTTGTACGTGCTGCAGTGTTTGCATTTCCACAGTCGTCTGGTCAGGTCCAGGCTTCTTTTGTTGATTACATAAAATGAGGTCAGTGGCTTTGCAACAAAGTGTTGTCATATATAATTAGTCCTGTATTTTTCTGAATTTTAGAGAGATAATTGCCTTTCCAGGACTTAAGTGGAAACAGACCCATCTCAGACCCTTTATGATTTCAGTGTAAACATGCGCATGTTGCAGAGCATAATGTAGATTGAAAGTGAGAAGATCTGTGCTGTGACCTGGGATGAGAAGCCCAGTGGGAGAGTGTTTCTGGCACAGTGGTTTTACTAGAATGACTTAGACAGCACTCATCGTTCACAGCTGGTAGAGGAGCTTTTGTGACCTGATTTTGATAATACCTAGAACCCTTCAGAGCAGTCTCAAACCTGCTCTAACTTATGTTGGCGGGATGACTTGGCACACAGGGTCTACAGAGCAAAACGGTTGCCAAAAACTCCACTACCCTCAAATATGCCTCTCTACTGAGAGGCGCTGTGTGCGTCTGGGATCCAGCCAAAAATCAGGGCTAAGAGCATCAAATCAATGCAATGGCTTTTACCACACCCCTTGGATAGAGAAGGGGAACACAGGGAGTTAGTACAGTTATTTTTGTTGGCTAAGCCTCAGAAACAGAGAGGTTAAATTAAATAGATAATAACTTTCAAGCACTGTCCAGTCGCTGAGGTTTAGCTCTGGATTTCAGAGGAGTGCTCATCTCTTTCCTGCACTTTTCCCTGGTGTGGAGTTTTCCTACTGGTAAGTGAATAGCCTAATTCAGCTTGACCCTAGCAGAAATTGTAGTTGAGATATTAAGCAGCCATAGTCTCAAAAAGTTAAAATAACTTCATTTGGTTTGCCTATCTAAGAGGAAAGCAGCCATTAAATTTCTCAGAAAGACATTAAGTGATGTTTCTCTTGGACTCCTGTCTGCTTAGGAGGGTTGCTCACAGTGTGTTTTCCAAACAGGTTTGAAATAGTAGGGATGAGAAGGACTTTTGAGCTGTATGTGCTCTTGCCCTTAAGAACTGTAATAATAACAAATGTCTGATCATGAAATCTTTGCTCATATGAGTAGCTGTTGTTTACATGAGCAGACCTACTGATTTTAAGGATTTATTTGAGAAAGGATTGCTGCTGTGAATCAACTCTGCCAGTTGCAAGCCTTTGAAGACTACATGCTACAGGCATAGCTGATGTGAGATATTTTAGGCTGGCCAAAGACCCGAGAGGATGACAAATGATGTTCTGAAAATAAATGAGTTCTTTGAGAGTCCCGCAACTTTTGTTTTCCCCACTCCTGAATTGTCTGCAAAGAAAATATTTTACCTTAGTCTCTGTTAATGGTTCTGAGACAGCTCTAAACTCTACAATGGCTGTGGGGGCTCTGTACCACAAGCAAGGACATGTCTTGGTCAAAACTTCCCTGTCTGTTTCTTTTCCCTCCAGCCTGCCACGTTTCTCTATTTTCCCCTGAAGGCACCTGTTCGTACTTATTTTGGGGGGTGGCTTCTGCCTCTGATAGCATGGCTTGTTACCTTGATGACCAGTCCTTGCCTCATATCACAATTTATATAGCTACATAATTTTCTACGTTGTACTGCCAGGACATTTGAAGACAAGAGTTGCTCAGTATTTAATGGCAATGTATTATCAGTTTTTTCATCTCTGTAGACAAATTTAGTCTTCTAGTGCGTTTCCTTAAGGAATTTTAGCAGTTTTAGAACTTCACCAAAGCTGGAATGAAATCTAAGGCCACATGCATCAGCCAGGTTGCCGGTATCGGCATTATATGATTCAAGAGCTCTTTGGTATGATTGGATGTAGATGAGATAGTGGTGATTTATTTGACGTCATCTGAAACAGGTGGATCTAAAAAGGACAGCTGTACTAAAATAAATTCTAACTTGCGGTGAATTCACTTGTGTTCCTACACCTTCCCTGATATCAATACGCCAGACTCACCTTGCTGGAGGAGTCTTTATGTATCTGAATGCCTAAAAGGAGATATGATTTTGGGATGTAGCCTAATGATGTTCTTGGAATGGAGTGATCTGCACAGGGGAAGAAGGGAATCACAGCAATCTGGCATCAGTCTCTGCATTTCATAGGTAGAAATCCCGTGCTTGCACCTCTATACTCTGGTGGTAGATTTTTTCCAGGGGGTTCATGTGGTAGTGTAAGGATTTAGTGTTTGGATTCAAATTGTGACAGATAAATTTGTTTTAATATCTATAGAATGATGTGCCCTGTGTTTATCTGCCTCTCTACTTAGACCCCAAAAGATGTAAGCCTGTTATAGATGCCACTATGCAGGCTTGCCCTCAAGAGTGACAGGTAGTAGTAAGTCATGCTTACTTGTCTGTGATGCTAGCGATGTGCTTGGGATGGCTGCTGCTGAGGCTGGCAGCAGCATCCAGGACATCTTGTGGTTTCTTGGCATAAGTAAAAATAAAATAATTGTGTAAAACTAGGAAAAATAATTCTGATCAGACAAACTTGATTGGTGAGGCAAGTATTCAAGAAGTTCCTCCTTTCTCCTCTGGGACAGGATTCTTTATGAGAGCTACTGGAGAGCAAATGGCTTAAAGATTTAAGAAGTCAAACAAAATGCTTGTTAGGAGGCTTATTTATTTAGTCACATACAGTAACAGCACAGAATTGCAAAAATTACTGCCTGTATAATTGTGTATAAAGTCATGCATACTTAGACCTTTCACACTAGTGCCCTGACTCTTGTGTAGCTCAGCATTGCTCACCTTGGGCAACCACAGATCACTGTTAGGGATTGCGTTGTCGCTAGCAGAAAATCACCAACTCTTAAATCACTGACCTTGACTCTGGTATTATTATTTGCTACTTAGAAAATAAGTAATAAACTCTCCTTTCTGTGATGACCTGCCATGCAAGCTGACAAGCTCCTCCCCGAGGCCCAGAGAGTGCAAATTGATATGAAGATGCATCTTAGCAGGTCAAACGAACATGAGGTCAGCTTTACGCTCTAAGTCAATAAGGTTTTATTTGCTGACTGACAGAGGTCTTACAACCCAGCAGAGATCACCCAGCATCGCTCCCTGTTTTATTTATGTGGGAATAAAGCAGAAAAATATGCATTATATCCCTGGTTTGTCTAGTTATAATGATGGAGAATGTCTCCAGCTGACCAAGGTGTCCTCATTAATGATTGTTCTATATTTAGCCCATGCAGAGGCCGTGTGCCCCCAGTTTAATCAAAGACCTGGTAGTCATGGTAACGACACAGAGCATCTGGATGTATACGAATTGCCAAACACTGTAATAAAGTGCAAGATGAAAAGAACACACAACAGCGTTAGGTGAATTAATGTATTGTTCTTTTCTACTACAGATTTTGAAGTGTTTCTAAGAGCTCCCTAGCCATAAATGCTAGATTCTTTCTGCAGAAAAAAGAGCCCTATTAACACAGGTGACCATTACTAATCTCCTTTTTGTTTTGTTTTGTTTCTTAATTTCATTTTGCAGGTGTATCAGCATTCATATACGGCATATTATGTCCTCAGCAAAATACCTCATGGGTAAGCAATTTTTCAATGTCTTCATTTTAAAACTCAGCCATTAAGAATTCTACAAAATAATGTGTATTGTGACAAATTGTTTCCTGTGACAACCCTTTGCAGTGGTCTGACATTCAGCTGCAACATCCACTGAGCTGTGTGTTGTGCAAAAGATGACACGGTCTGGAAACAGAAGTACTCAGCTTCCCTGGAGAGTCAGATTACATGTATTTCATATTCCGATTTTCAAGTTTTTGGCTAGAATATAGATGTGTTGGTGTCTGGCTGAGAGCCGTGGTTGGCCACTCCCCAGAGCACTGTCAGAGGATCTATGCAGAGGGGTTTGGTCCCTTAAATTTGGTCAGATTTGGGCTTTACACAGTATTTCTAAACTTAATGAAAGCATATGGCTTTACCTAAAGCATGTAGCAGGAAAGGTTATGTATCATTCCAAGTAATGAACTTCTATCACGCAATGCCTCTTCATTTAGATCCCCCTATCCACTGGAGGACCAGAGGTAGGCTCAGTGTTTAACATAAGCATCAATTAGCTTAAGGGAATCCTTCTTTAACTTTGATTAGTTGCAGTTTTTTTAATCCCCCTTTCTCAGCTTTGTCTTTGTGATGCTGCAGGTTACCTGTAGCTCCAGCTCCATCACCCTGCAGCTCATCTCACCTTTCTGGTTTCTCTAGAGCTTAGTCACTAGTTTCTACCTGCTTTTCCCTTTCAAGATACCTTTTTTCTTTATATACTTCAGGGACTGGCCCAGCTTGTCAGGAATGGGACACCACCATACCAATAAGACGCATGTAGACATAGGATGGTAAATGGTGTCTCAGAGTGACATTTCCATAGCACCAATGGAAATGCATAAGTCGCAGAGCAAAATTCCTTGATTTTTTTGTCAGTAAATACAAAGCTAAAAGCCAGGAAGCTGATACCAGGTTGTGTAAGTATCATATTGGTGATACCTGCGGGAATGGTAAAAAGGGACGGTATAGTTGTGCTTTGTGATTTCTGTAGAACATTTCACATGGCTTTGGTTATAAAACATATAACTTCATTACTTTCTATGCTTCCTCGCTAAGTTGTCATTTCCATACATTATGGCTAAACAGGCAGTAGATGATTTGGATCCTTGCAATAGCTGGCAAAACCTGCAAAGTTAAAAAAAAATCTGCCTGGTTTATCATAGGATCACCAGACAACTCAGGCTGGAAAGGTTCTTCTAAGGTCCAACCTCCTGCTCAAAGCAGGTTACTCAGAGCTTTATCTAGCTGGGTTTTGAAAACCTTCAGGGATGGGGACCGCACAGCCTTGCTTGGACAACCAGTCCCACTGCCTGACTGTCCTCATGGGGAGAAAGGTTCTCCTTACATCCAATCTGAACCTCTCCTTTCAGTTTATATCCACTCTTTCTCACCCGTACAACCATATTAAATGGATTACTATGTCTCTGACTTAGGAGAACACTGGGGCAGCTCCTATACGAGAAGGCAGGATCCTGGCCATGCCTGTGTGCTCAGTGTTTCCTACTGCTTTTTGTAGGCAGCTCCCACTATGTCTGTGCACTATGGATTAGCAGCCTTCCCGCTGGGCAGTCATCAGGGGACCTCACTGTTTAACACAGGAATGATGTTTTAAGGGCAAAAGTCCTGAAAGTCAGACATTGCAACACCTACATTTTCAAGGCACCAAGTCCTCTTTCTAATCAAGTTTCTTTGATACTGTAAACCGGTGGGTTTAACAATAGAGAAGTACAGATTCAATGGCAAGATATAAACACATCTCTTAGCATTTTTCCCCATAAAAATACTAGTTGCATTCAGGTGTTCCTCAAAGATTTCTCTCAGCTCACTTGTCCACACACACACACACAAAATTAAAAACAGAAAAGAAAAAAACAAACAAGCAACAAATCAACAAAAACCCCACCAAAATAACAACAACAAAAAAAGCTGGAATAGCTTTCTTTGGCTTCTGCCTAGCCACAGCGAAACAATACTTTGTCCAAAAGAATTTGTACTAGAGGCATAAATGTTTTAGAATCTGTGAGCCCTGGAGCTTGTGAAGCCTGCTTCCCTACAGCTTGTGTCTTGTGATTGACTCACCACAAAAAATCAGGAGCTCAAGGTTAAGTTGTTTCCATGTACAGTCAGAACATGGGAATTAGCAGTTTTCTCACCATCATCCACGTCAAAACTCTGATGTCCCAGTGTGACATGCTCCAGGCTTTTTTTTTTTTTTTTTTTTTTTTTTGAACTTACTGGATTTATTTAATTTTTGAAAACTTGCTCTTTGTGGCATTGTATCTGAAATTAGCTTATGGGCTGAAATGGTGTTGAGCAAGAGGATGAACACACAGCATGAGCACATAAGCTTTGTATCTGCAGTAAACCTGGCTAAGAGCAAAAGCATTTGACTGACAGCACAGTTCTATTCCAGACAAAAGAAAGGTGGAAAAAACATAAGTATCATGCATAGTATGTATGAGAAATGCTAAAAATTAACAATTTTTAGTGGTGCAGGCAGTTTGCTGCTACTGCATGATCTCTCTTCACACCTGACAATCAGCTTCTTGTTCCCCCCAGCTTCAACTATATTGCCCATTGAGCTGTGTTTCACCTTGCACTCTGTGCTTGGTTGAGCAGTTGGAGAGTTGGATGTGTCAGAGGAGAAGTATCCACTATAAGGGGAAGACTTGGAAAGTGAGAGGGTGCCAGAAGGCATGCAGGTGTGTCAGGTGTTGGTGTCCCCACAGCACGATATAGCAATGGATCAGGTGACCACTGGCAGGAGGAGGGTTGGAAGGATTGCTGCAATTCATGTTGTAACAGGTATGGTTTACAAAATGGGTTAGGCTGTGGGTACATATACAGGCATTGCAAACCGTATGGTACAGTAACAATTGCATCGATCTCCAAGGTGATCATAGTGTTGTGAGTGGTGGAAGGGGTGGCACATTACCATTTCCCTGGAGCATGGGCATTTATCATTCCTTTGGAGGTCTGCATATATTTTAGGGTGGTGCATGAAGAGAGAGGACAGATGTAGCAGGTCAACGTGATGTAACAGGTGATGAAATACATCCATTGAAAATTGACCCTCTGTTGGCTGAAGGGGTAAAAATCTCTTCACCACATACTTCATAATTAACACAGGAATATTGCTCTGATGGATGTGTGCGGGTGAAGATTGTTGAGGGCAGGATCAAGCGCACTGACACAGCACAAGGTTCAGTTCGGTTTGACATTCCAGATACCTTGGTGATGACAAAATTTGCAACCTACAAGCAACCCACAGACCTCCACCTGACAATACACAAGTGACAAAAACCTTTGGTACCGAGCAACAACCCCTTTGCCATTTCTACAAACTGTTTTCATGCATTACACTGCTTCTGCAAGTAAGCACCAGCTTTCCACCCTGCCGGTATGTGCCAGTGGTGCCTCGGCATAGCACCAAATCAGCCAAGGCAGTGACTGCTGGTGAACAAACTCACTCCCCTCCACTTTAGGAGGTCTAAAGTCTCCCTCCTTCTCATTAGACACTCACTCCTGGAAACAGGCTGTGACAGTGTGACTTTCCCTGTGCTCTATCTGCCCCATTCCTCATCCTTGGCTATGATCTGGCTCATCAGGAAGGCCAGACAGTTTAGGCTTTGTACCCACTCATGCCCTTGCAATGCCCCTGCTGAGGCTGACTAGTAAGGAAGCCAATTAATCTAATCTGTGGTGTCACTTTTTAAACAATGCAACATTAATCTGCCAGCATAAATTGCTTTTTAAAGGGAAATTTTTAATTATTTTTGCCGTGTTCTGCAGACTCTCCGGATTCAGGCTGTGTCTGGAGTCAAAAGGGGCTTGTACCAGTGTTTTCCGGATTTCAAGCTGAGCTCTCCATAAGTTTGACAAGCCAGTTTGAGGATGTCCTTAGCACATACGTTCACAAATGGTATTTTATACAGGGTGCAGAACTTCAACATTTTTCCATGAGACCTGTTGTGGAAGTAAACTCCTCATATAAGGAGTAGCAGCACAATTTGGCTCTCTACAGGACAACTAATATATGGCAATAGCATAGACTCAAAGGATCTTATTTAAAATTTAAAATAAGCCCAAGATAGAAGAAAGAGTAAATATCCCTGTAGGAGTATTTCTATTTTTTTGTTATTTCATCCTTCTTACAGCCTTTTGGTAAACTTGGGGTAGAAACCCCTGCAGTTTTTGCCACATTTGCCTTGTGTTTTCGATGGGCCATGGTTTTCAGTTTTCACAGGGGAAGCCAGCTAAGAACCACAGGTCTCATTGTCCTGCGCGGAGGTGTGTAGGGAGGTTATGTTCAGCTTTCCTGCATGCCACCCATTTTTCTCTTGCTGTTCACCCAAAAATGAGATGCTGGCTCCGGGTGCCATCTAGTGGAACAAGCCTCTGCGCTTGCCTCTCGTGGTCCGTGGTACGAATATCTCTGTACTGTCCCATCTGCCTTCCTCTGAACGGTGCTGCTTTCCAGATGTATCTGCCGATAACTGCTTACAGCTGTCTGCATTATAAATATTTTTGTAAAGCTCCTCTCATAACCCCGCAGTTGCACTTGCCGCATTGTAATTGCCAGCTAGTTGTAATTTATAGGTACTGCGATAGCATCTGCAGGTCTAGATGTGGAACAGGGAGTTCTCATGCAAGGTGCTGGGAAAAAGTGGAACACAAATACAATATACAGTTATTTCCTAATATCATTTTTCCTAACTTTGGAAAATAAAAATTTAGCAGTATGATAACTTATGATAACGATACTTATGAAACCCAGCCACCGAAAATTGTTTTATTCGTTTGTGGGTTTTAATAATGTTGCTCCTACTGAGTCCAATGTGGATGATCTTAGCCATTCACATCCTTCACTGAAATAACGGAAAAACCTTACTTTGTTCAGGGTTTTCATGGTCAGGCCATGACTGACCAGAGTGTTCCCCTGACCTTGTTGCAGAATTTCCCTCACCAGTGTTAAGGTCATTTCACAC